AGCTCCGTGCGCGCCCCGGCCGGCCCGGCGCCGTCCGTGCGCGCCCCGGCCGGCCCGGCGCCGTCCGTGCGCAGCGACAGCACCCCGTGCGTGCCGGCCAACACTTCCACTTCCTCCTGGCCGCGCCTGGACTCCACGAAGCTGGCCACGTCCTGGTGCAAGTGGTGCAGGTTGCCCTCGGCTACGCTGCTCCACACTGCCACTTTGTTGGAAACAAAATCGGTAACTCTCATGAACTGGTCATCGAAATAACGACTGCTCAACAACTTGCCCGAGGTGAGCGTCTGATCGGCGAACGAGTAGTGATCGTGTCGGAGCAGTTCGTGCAGGCGCCGATTTAGACGGACGTCATCGGAGTAGAGGCGCTCGGCCGCCTGTCGAGTGGCCGCGTCGAACATCTGGTTGAAGTTGCCGAGCAGACTGCGCGGCGCCGACGCGTGCGAGTGCGCCGGCTCCGTGGACGCCACGGACCCCGCCGGCCCGGCCGCCGCTATCTGCAGGCGTACGGCCACGCCGCGGTCCGCGTCGAAGCAAGCGGTCGCTAGGTGACGCGCTCGTCCTTCCGTTTCATGCATCAGATACGCTCGGCCTTGCAAATTTCCACAGTCATCTACCTACACAAAAAAAGCTGGTAAAAGTAAAAGTTACCTTAAAACTGTTAAGTGTTACCGTTACTCAATTATGTTTCCCTGGTAGTAAACCCTACCTCTACCTAATAGGGTAGAAATAATTTTGAGAAGGAAGCTCGTAGCGAGCGAGTACGAGTTGGATGAGCGCTACCCGTGTTACTAACCTGGTGGAGCACGTCTTCAAAGATGCTCTGCTGGCAGCCGAGCTCGCGCAGGTGGAGCAGGCGGCCGAGCGCGACGTAGCGGCCGGCGCGGCAGTGCGCGGCGAGCGCGGCGTGGGTGGGCGCGGCGAGGAAGCGGCCCGCGCCGCACGACAGCTGCAGCGCGTCGCCGTCCGCCAGCCGCAGCGTGCCGTTGGCGGCGCGGTGTGACGTCACCAGCGGCATGTTGTCCGGCAGACACTCCGCACATTCCAACTCTATCACGCAAGGTGCTGAGGGGTACACAGAAATAACAACTTTATAGGTAAGTATCGGGGTGCGGTGCCAGAAGACCTCCCCGTTCTGCAGGCAACGGGCTTTGTGCGGATGCTCATAGCCCGCGCTTCCGTCTCTCTGAACCTAGCAGAGAGCTTGGCGGAGAGGCAAGGGCGGAGCTCCTTGAGCACTCACTCTGCCAACGAGCAGCATCGGGACACAAGCTGTCCCCGATTGGAACCGTCGATATCACAATCCGTGAAGAGATCATGTTCATGTTTTATGACTCCGAACGGGACGAGGGTCTTGGCTTGGTCGCCCGGACCGCGAGGAAAATAACCTCCATAAAAAAATCCTCAAATAGGTACCAAGTTCTGGTGCGCGGCGAGGGTATGCATGGCTGAGGAGTAGTGTCAGTAGTGAGCGCACACCCAGCTAAGGGACCGGTGGACTCTCAAGTTGGGAAACAAATTCACACTTACCCAGATACGGGGGACACTGCCTGTGTGGACCGATTATGTCCCCCATACTCGTGGGAACTTTATGGAGAACACAAAGTCAAACCAAAAACAAAAAAACACCCCATCCCAGAGGAGGAGAGTGCGGGTGAGCTCGGCTCACCTGCAGAGGCGGTAGAGGGGAGCCCAAGTGGCTCTGGGACTCGTGGCGAGGCGCTGGAACCGTCCAGCGAGCCTCGAACATGGGCCCCAAGTCGGAAGGTCGGGTCGGACTCTGAGTCCGACACATCACTTGCGGAGCGGCTGAGCGTGAGCTCGAAAGCTCAAAATTTTTGTTGTTTCCTTTTTTTACTTTCATTTTATTTAATAGTTTAGTTGTAGTTAATTTTAAGTTGTAAATATTTATGTAGTTATAAACAGAGTTATTTAAAAAGCATCTAAACTAATAACCCCTTACCTATATTGTCAGGCAGGTACTGCCTATCTTAGTTTAGGGGTTGCTTAAATTTTAAGAAGATATGTATTATCTTTCATTAATCTCTTTCGCTAAACTTCAAGCATTCCTACAAAAATAATTTTCTTTCACTCGAGAACACACCACACTCTGGCGTTGAATCCAGGAATCGGTTTAAAAGTTTCATCGTGGATGGTAACGGGGACTTAGCTCTACTGACTATTCTGCAAGATGGTATAGCAAATAACTGGTACTTCTGTTGCGACAGTAATTGTCAGGAGCAAAAATAAGAAGAAACTCATGGTGTGATTCAGGAGCATCAATTCGACCATAAACAATTTTGTATATTGTTAAAATTTGTTGCATTTCCCATCTAACTTTTAAAGAATTATACCTCAAACAAGCAAGTTGAAATAGCGATGTGTATAAGTACAGATAATCACTATTCACGCGTTTGTACCATGAGAACCTCTTGCGTTATTTTCACTAGTTAAACGGATATTATATAAAAGAGGTTTAATATACCAAATCATAAAGCGAGTACTCACAATGTGTAAAGCTCGCGAGTTGAATAAAACTAGCAAGTAGCAAGATTGGTAGCAGCTCCATGGTGGCGACGAGGCCGGCGGCGACTGTTGACTGTAGTCGCCGCGCTATCGCACTGTCCAGTGTTCTGTCGAGTTGACATTCGACCCTAGATAACGTCTACCACTAGGCTGATTGTAATATAGTGTTGTTTTTATGACCCACATCAGACATATTCCGAGTATTTCAATTTACTCATAAAACAGATTGTCATAATTTATTAAGACTCAAGTCATAAAATTAATAATCAAATCCTCCATTAATGGAAGTGAACTTAGCAATGCACACATTTCGAAGGCGGTTTCAAGATGGGATGAACATATCATATTATTAAAAAAAATAATTGTGTTTGAAAACAAAAAACAAAATATTCCGATAGTAGTTTAATATGAACATAATATACAATGCAGATGTTTATTTATAAAAAGCAGGTAAAAACCGACGAAACACATGGTACACCATACGATAAAATACTTTTTATTTCATCAACATACATAACTATAGAGTCTACTTACTTAATTAACTATAATCGCAGCACTATTTTGCCTTAGGGTGAGTAACAATTCAGCAAAACTAAGTCCTGATTCGTGTGTCGGACGTACACACTGCGGCGGTACGTACCTACGAGATGTGCGTTGCGCTTCCCAGAAATGTTTCAGTTCGCACTCACTCAGCCAGTGTATGAGATGCGGCTGAATGGTTGCACTTTTAACTTCATTAGTTTACATCCTAGACATAATATTACATGTATAAAACACTGTAAAGCGAAGAACAATAACTTAACATTCGCCACTTCATTATTTGAGACAAGATTGTTCAAGATTTTCTGTTCGAGCTACTAATTTTTTATTGCACCCGGTTTTATTATGCGACTAGACATTTCATGGGCGATTACTCGATTAGTGTCGCAAGCTTTAATTACAATAACCAATATTGAAAAGCTTAAATGATGAATAGGTGTAACAAAGTTCACCCATGGTTTGAAAGAAAACCTTGAAAATGTTCAAGAGGAAGGGAATTTCGACAAGCTAAAACAATCTCAAGGTGGTCTTCCGTCGATGAAAGCACGAGAGCGGACGGCAGCGATCTGCCGAACGTTTCGGTTCCGCTACAAAGCCGACCCCTGTCTCGCGGCCGGCCCTGCGGCGGCCACACTGCCCCGACTGCCATGTGTACCCGATGGCTCTGTCAGCTGTAGGTGACGAGGGCTTACTTAACTTATCACGGAAACTAGCGTCTTTACTAAGCTTCATCAGCCAAAGGATATCTGCAGTCGGTAGCAGTGGTGGGCCCGCGCCGCCTAGGAGCAGCAGGCGCGGGCGGGCGGCGCGCGCGACGGCCGGCGCTCCACGGCGATGCGCGCGTGGTCCGCGTCCGCCTCGCGCCCCGACGTCTTGTCCAGGATGGCCTCGGCCAGCTCTGAGAACGCTCGGTCGATGTTGATGTTGGCCTTCGCCGACGTCTCCATGAACCGGATGCCGTGCTCGCGCGCTATCTGCAGACATAACATAATGGTTGAAACCACGGAATAGTTTAAACTTATTGAATGACAAGTATCTATCTATCTATTATAATTATCTGAGCGGTGATTTCCTGCGGAGTTGTTCTCATGCGTTGTCCTGCGTGAGCAACGAAGGCGACACTGCAGACGCGATCAAACCAACGGCATACCCTACTTGCAGCCTATATGACAGCCAGAGCGGCGAGTCGCGACGCTATGCGACACCACGACCTATGTACTTTAAATATGAACTTTCAAACTAAATTGTACTGTACTTCTCCATGATTCAAGCGAGTAATGACCAAAATCACGTAGAACATTTGTCGCGTGTACCATCGCGGCGCGTCGTGCTGCGGCGTATTCGTCGCTCTCGCAGGACACGCGTCATATTATATATAATTATGTATAATTCAACATTAGAGACAAACAAGAACACATACTTAGAATGTATAGTCGTTTTGTAAAATTGTTTGCTTATCATACAGGGTGGATTGAAATTGCACGTTTTTAGTAATTAGGCTCTATTAATAATACATCATACTAGGCAACATTCCATAAATACAATTATCACCTCTATGAAATACACAAAAATGTAAATGTTGCAAATTCAGTGTTTGCATGTTTGTTTGTTTTACTGTTGTAGATTTTGATACTTTGAGGTTTGTCCATTGAAGTGACGACGTACTTTGTTTGTTCATAACTTTAAAGCGTTTACCAGCGATAATATCCCAGCAATAATAACACTAATTACATTCTAAAGGTTTTTCTTACTTGCATTATTTACTGTTTTTATTTAATAACTTAATACGCAATTAGTATTGTTGGTAGAGCCTAATAATTATAGTACATACATCTTGTTTATGTGAAAGTACTGAATATGAACTAATTTAAATGAATTAATAAAAACCTAAGAGTGTGTCGAACAATACAGTCAGTGCCTGTATGTTTGTATGTACACAGAGCAAGTACAAGTAGTGTGATTGATTAATGCGCGTGAGTCACGGCGCGGCGGCGCGGCGCTGTTCAATGCCTTGTGGCTGGACAGACGCTAATTGATACCAGGTTTCACCGCTAACGTGTTCGCGGCGCAATTGCAATTGATACTAGACATACAGGGCACTATGATCTTCCTGCAACACTACCACAAAGTTTTATATTAATTATTATTAATACATTCGGAATTTGAAACATTTCCCTGTTGTAGTTTATTTATATTTATTGAATTTGGGTCTCCAACAAGTAATACACGAGTAACATTACAAAAAATTAAAAGCTATGCGCTTCCTCAATTATAGGAGGTCACATGACATGCAAAAATATCATAAAATTATACTAACATGTTTGATGAGTATTTATAAGAGGCTAACTTCCTGTATTAATAAGAGGAAATATTCAAAAGTCACAAATACAATATTCATTTTGTGAGTAATGAATTCCAATAAGAAGTTAAAAACTTATTATAAGATTTTTCTTTAATTGCAACATTATGTTTTATAGCATTCTTTGATAATTGCACTATTGATCACAAAAATAATTAATCAAATTGGACCAGTAGGGTCCGAGATTTGGGGGTCAAACAAACAAACAGCTATAATTATAATAGTATAAAATGAGATAAAAGATTAATTTCATGGTGTTAGTCTATGGTGCAATCAACTGTACTGTGGTCACTCACCGCTTCTCCTCGCTCCTTGCTCACCACACGCTTCTCTTCCATGTCGCACTTGTTGCCTAGTATCATCTTCTCCACATCCTCATTAGCATGCTGCAATATTACTCACTTAGTACACTACTTATATGGAGATACAAAGCATACAATAATTCATAAGCATACAACTTTCATAATAAAAACACTTTACTGTTGTAGTCTGTGTTCTGTGATGATTCTAATATCTGGCGATCTCGGAGTTTGAAACTAGATAATTTTCATAATAACAATAAATAGTAAATGTTCATTGTTACCTCGTCTATATTTCGTAGCCATTTAACAATGTCATCAAATGTTTTTTCATTGGTGATGTCGTACACTAGCATGATCCCCATCGCGCCACGGTAGTACGACGTGGTGATGGTGTGGAACCTTTCCTGTCCTGCCGTGTCCCATATCTGGAGCTTAATCTTTTTACCCCGAAGTTCCACAGTCTTTATTTTAAAGTCTATGCCTACAAATCAAACAACCATTTATAATTTAACAAAGAATGCATTGCTACATATAAAACGTTTGTGTCATCAACGATACAAGCTGAAGTAAATAACAAGGTAACAATTTTTAAAAGATAAGTTTTGACGAGAAAAAATAAAAAGGTGGCGGCTCATACCGATCGTAGATATAAACGTCGTTGTGAAGTGGTTGTCTGAAAATCTAAACAATATACACGTCTTTCCAACGCCAGAGTCTCCAATAAGAAGTAATTTAAACAACAAGTCGTAGGTCTTCTTTGCCATTTCGATAAACTGTATAATTTATGCTTAAATACGAAACGTAAAAACGATAAAATCCAAAATCACCCAATACTACAAGAAGTGACAGACGATTTTGAGATTGAGACGACACTGACGACACTTCACGACACCATGGAGTATAGAGTTTAGATATGTCTTGTGGTTCAGTCACAGACTACTAATTAAAATATCTGCTAGATTGAATGACTAGCGCCTAATTTAGTTTTTTTGCTCACCAGATCTAGTAAGAGGTCTAGTTGTTCAATCACTCCAGCTTGACACTAGCTAATTCCGATAGACGAGGAAGGAGAGAGGTCCGCACTAGCGGCACTTGGTGAACAAAAACAGTAGCCCCCATTAAAGGACCTCGAACATGGCACGCCTAATATTTTGATGCCGTCGTCACTCTCTGGACAGTTGAGTTGAGCGCCTCTCACGGTATCCTTCTGTAAGCTGATGCCCTAGGCACTTGCTCCAGGGATAATACGGATACAGATCCTATTTAACGACTTCACTAATCTTCTGAACTGACGTGACGTTCAGTCAAGACAAAACCGTCATGACGTGAGGACATTACATTCAACGACTTGACGAGGTGTTCTTTCGTCATTTAATCGAATATCAGATTAAACCAGATGACTGCGAGTCAGATTTGATATAGAGAAAAAGAGTAATTTGACCATTGATATGGATCCATGATTTTGACGAGTAATCGAGATTGTCTAGTCAACAGACCACGGATATTGAGAAAGTTCTCAAAAACTTGTGATTTGAAAAGTAATGTTTGTTTCTAAAATGATAAAACCAAGGATGTTGAAAAAAAAGGTACTCCTTCTATTCCTTGGGTAGAGTAGTATTGACGATGCAAAGATTATCTGCGTGCCTCTAGCGGCGAAATTTAGAAGTTATCTAAGAACGACACGTTGCTTTCAAGTTGAGGCTATTAAGTTTAAACTTAATCAAATGAGTTTTAATAACAGCAGAAACACAAAATATTGTTGAATTTCTCAATGTAATACTTACGGAGATTCAGGAATAAGTTTTCATTTATTTCCAAAAGACAAAATTATGAATCAAATAAATGTCCCTGTAGGGAAAGAGAAAAGATCAGCTGTAATGCTTTACAGCTGATCTTTTAATTAACCCTCTCAGATTTACTCACCAGTGATATTTATTTATTTACTTTTACGGGTATTTATTCAACTGAACTTTTAGAAACATTGGTGACTTGTGTTAAGTGAATTGGCCTTAAATGCTCCAACAAACAAGAAAATGTTATCTGTGATATACAAAGTTATTTTGACAATGGTAGAAATTAAACAAAATATGTCATTTAGAGCCATTGGCGTTTGGTTTGGTATATATAGGCAGACATAAGTGTCCCATGCTGATTAGAGTACTCAAAGTTGTTATTCCTTGGCCTGATACCGAAATGATACGTAGTAACTATAACCTAAATCATTCCAAATATATATATATATATATATATATAATTATATAAAAATACAAGAATAATATTACACTGTGCTGAGACTATGATTGAAAAATGCACATGTTTAAAAATGTAGAATATTGACGTACTCTCAATATAAATAAACAGAAGATAAAAGTTTAGTTTTCAAGATAGAAGTTTAATATTGGAATAACTCTTTCTGGCCTAATAACTGTAATAAGTGCATCTCATGGTGGTCAAATATGCCATCGCGAAGGACACACCGGGCGTCGGGGATCGCGGGACGATCTCCGGCCACCGTAAGCGCGGGCCTGCGGACGGCGAGGCGAGCATGGGTGGCTCCCCGTCCGACCAGACACAGACCCGAGCGTACGGCGCGTCACGTTCCGCGCGCGCCTCAAAGAGCCATCAGACTACCACAGATGGGGCCCAATACGGTCGATGCCGATTCGGAGTTGCAGAGAACCTAACGGGTAACCGGAGCTCCGGCTCGACGTGCAGGAGAAGGAACGGGGTGGTTTTTAGTCAGTAAGAGTCTGACACTCCCTCCCGCCTCACCCAGGCGGGAGCAGTCATTCGATGATTTTCCCGCCTTAAAAAAAATAAAAAAATGGTGGTCAAGCATCAAATAAGCTTATTGTAAATAAATCAGGAATCTTATATAAATGCGAGTTCCATGATGGAGTGATGGTGTATAAAGGATATAGGATTGAATTCGAGTGTAATGAAGTAAATTAAGGATATTAACTGAATAATTAGTATAAAATTTGATTATTTTGCAATTTCAAGAAACCACATATGTCTGATTTATATTTAATAAATACAATTTTCTGTGACGTAAAACATATTTTATACGAAAACTGTCAGTATCGTTCTTAGACACCTTCACAATTTTGACACTAGAGGCGCTAGTTAGAATCTTTTCATCGCCAAATATTTTTTTTCTAGTAGGTATTTTTTTATGGGGTGAAAATCATCGAATGACTGCTCCCCCCTGGGTGAGGCGGGAGGTAGTATCAGACTCTTACTGACTAAAAACCACCCCGTTCCTTCTCCTGTACACCGAGCCGGAGCCCCGGTTACCCGTTAGGTTCTCCGCGACACCAATAGTAGGTATAGTATAAGTATACTGCACTGATATAATAAATACCTAATACCTATGACTAAAATATTATATTTAGGGTAAAAATGTAACATATCACCATTGATATATATACCCATGGTATGATAATACTGCCTTGTTCATTCCATTTGATAATTTACTGCAGTCTGTGGTTTTCGTCTGTTTTTTCCATAGACAAATATACTTAATCTGTACTTCTGTAGTCTATTCTTTGTAACTATTGTGTTTTTTTGTATGTCGAATGTCGACTTGTCGAATGCTGCGCGACTGCGCGTCGTATTGATTCTGTCTCTAATTTGATAAATTTGACATTTCATAAGGTTCTTGTGTTCTCTATTAAGTTAGATATTGTTTTGCACTCGTCATTGTTACATTTCTCTTTGGTAAGGTAAAGAAAGATGTAATAATATTAAGTTTTGTGAGGAAACAGTGTTACGTACAAAATGCATCGCCGTGGCGGGAAACGTATACGGATGGATGATCCACCTCCGGAATATGTCAATCCAATGACTCCAGCGACCCCCATGACTGATTATGGTGGACAGTCTGTTCACGAACCAGAAACTCCCAACGTGAATTATTCAGGGTTTAATGTTGGAGCGGTCGCCAATTCCACTGCTAATGAACTCCCAAGAGAAGAAGCCGAGGAATCCCATCACGAAGAAGAGGAGCCTAGATCTCCATCCCCCACTCCTACGAAGCGAGTGACCCGAAGTCGCGGTCGTCGCGGTGATGGTGGGTTTGTGGGGCGCTTGGCTGAGTCTCCGCCACCTCCGCCACTGCGGCGCCGCGGCCGAGGCGGGCGCGGGCGAGGTCGAGGTCGAGGAACGGCCCCGCCGCCAGCGTACTCACCGCCACCAGTTTTGCTGCCTGGTGATGACGAGAACAGCCTTTATAATATTCTGAGATTTAATAAGACAGCAATAAACGTAAGTGTTTGTTTGTATCTTTAACAACAACTTTATAGCTCTCAATTTTTCTACAAGTGACGTTAAATAGTACTTTGATACTTACCCATGTGTGCTGTATTGCGTCACAGGAAAGGTTGGAAATAAAGTATTTTCACATACTTTATTTGTACATGCAATAGTATAACTACATAAAGTATAATTACCAAAATAAAGTGTTATACATATATGGTTATATACATACATATATGGTTGACTGTTAGAGAATGCCTTTTTTTAAAGGGGGGAAAAATCATTGAATGCTCCTGCCTGGGTGAGGTGGAAGGGAGTATTTGATGAAACCACTCCTTTTCTTCTCCTACACTAGGTGGCCATTCTCTGCCATTCTTGCCTTCTCCTGCACTGTAATCTTTTTTGTAGAGGAAATTATTATCATGAAGTATGGTTGGCAACTGTACTTGTGTGTCCCTAAGGATACTTATTGGTCAGTTTTAGAAAGTGCAAGGCTCAAAATGAATACTTATAATCATAACTACAGGGTACCATAAGTTTTATTGCATCTGACAGCAAGTTGTAGAAATTAATGTGGCCTCATTAAAATATCATTTTGATACGTAGTTCATCATCAGAGGGTATGAGTTTGTTTTACATTTAAATAGAGTAAGCAACACAAGATTGCATTGTGTGCTCTGATTGGTTCATAAGAGTCACAATCAAAGCTCTCAAATCTTGTATCAACTATTTAAAATGTAAAACAGACACCTGTTTGTTTTGATACCAATCAAGCCCTCTGCATAGTACTGTAACTGCCACTGTACAAAAAGATGAAATTAAATATATCTAAAATACTTCTGTGTTTCTTAAAGTACAATTTTATGAAACATCCTTTGCTGAGATCATGCTTTTTCAGGCATATTTTTGTTTTTTTCTTTTGCTATAACTATAATTATAAAGTTAAGGTTTAACAAGTGTCAAAAACACAAAATTGAAGCAAAATCTTAATTCACACATTTTATATCATGGATATACATACAATACATGAAATTATTTGACAACTTAACCAGAATTGATGGAACATGCCACTGTTTTATGTGAATGTATTTTATTGCTGTAATATAATGCATGGTTTTTATTGAATTTAGCAAGTTGTGGATATGTGGATAGAAGAATACAAGACAAACAGAGAGGCTGCACTGGTTCAGTTGATGCAGTTCTTTATTAATGCATCTGGATGTCGAGGGAAGGTGACACCTGACATGGCACAGATGGACCACACTCTCATCATTAAGAAAATGACTCAAGAGTTTGATGAGGTACTGTTATTAGTAAAAGTTGACAAGTTACACTGCTGAAATCACACATTTTTCATACTAATTATAAGTCATAGTAGTATGTTTTCTATTCATGTATAAGCAGTAGTGTAGGTGCTATAATTTATCATTTGAATAATGTTTGACACAAACAGGGAAGCACTACAATGTTATAGAATACCAACACAAATTACAATTAGTGTGTTTGTATGATGTGTGTCGAGAGCCACTCACTTTATTAATGTAATAGGCTCACCCAGCCTATGGCCATACACTGGAACAGTTTCAAACTTTATGCTAATATTGAGAATTTCATAAATCACAAAACTCATCAACAATTTGCACTTGGGAATGTGAGAGAGACCCGAGAATGCTACAAATTCTGACTGCTCCGCCATTATTGTACTGGAAAACAGAAAATTCTTTATAATGAATAAAAATATTACATTACAGGAAAGTGGTGAATATCCCCTTATAATGACAGGACAAACTTGGAAGAAGTTTCGCTCCAATTTTTGTGAGTTTATTCAGACACTGGTGAAAATGTGTCAGTACTCTATCATCTACGACCAGTACCTGATGGACAACATCATCTCCTTGCTCACTGGACTGTCTGACTCCCAGGTCAGAGCCTTCCGCCACACAGCTACACTTGCTGGTAAGGTGTTATTAAATTGTCCAGATATTGTTTGTTTAACGAATATGCAACAATCATTTAAACTGTCAAACACCAAGCGATCACTGGTGACCGCAACCTATTGTTCTTTAATTGTGTCTATAATAACGGTATTCGACGAGTTAATGGTGATCAATAAAGTAACCAATGTGCTCCACTCCCTACACCTAAGACATGTGACTGTTTTACTTTTTAGTTATGAAATTGATGACTGCTCTGGTGGATGTCGCCCTTTTGACAAGCGTCAACTGCGACAACTGTTTGCGACAGTACGAGGCGGAGCGACTGAAAGCTCGCGACAAGCGAGCTAACGAGCGCCTTGAAGTGCTAGTTGCTAAGAGGCAGGAGCTGGAAGAAAACATGGAAGAGATCAAGAACATGCTCTCCTACATGTTCAAGTCTGTGTTCGTACATAGATACAGGTTAGCCACATTCTGCTGCAGTAATAACTAAAACAAACCAAACAAAACAAAACTCCTAACTAAATTTTTAACATCAATATTTTTGTTGGCCAGGGACACATTACCTGACATCCGAGCTATAACTATGGCTGAAATAGGCATCTGGATGGAAAAGTTTCCAGCTCATTTCTTAGACGATCTATACCTCAAATATATTGGCTGGACACTGCATGACAAGGTTAGTAGTACTAAAGGTTGTAGCAGACAAACATGTGATTTCTGCCTGCTATGTTGAGCACAAAGATTAAGCAACCTGGATGCTTACTCTTAAACTGTCAAACACCAAGCGGTCACCGGTGACCGCAACCTATTGTTCTATAATTGTGTCTATAATGACGGTACTTGACGAGTTAAAACCAATCTCAATGTTAATGCAATAAAATCTCAATAATAATTCAATGTCAAAACTATACAACCCCTAGCGTAGCTATTAATGTAGCATTCAGAACAGGGATGTTGCGGATCCACTTTTATCCACATCCGCGGATGCGAATTCTAAGAGGCTTACATCCTCGGATGCGGATGCGTACAGAAAACTTAAGGGTTGGTTTGTTAGAGAAAGAAACACAGTATTATTTATCATTTTTTATTTAATAATAAAGTAGTGAATGAATTATTTATAGTAATTATTTATTGTAATAATTAAATTTGAAATGTGGAGCATTATATTTTATAGAAAGTAGAATGGCCTCCTTTCGTTCTCCAGCCTGTTTCGCAAGGGTTCGTATATTAATCCTGCGCTACTAAAGAACTGTGAAAAGCTGATAAAAATTTGGGTGCTATTTTAGATACAATTTTGAACTCTCTTTAATTAGCACTCCACCATTTAAGAGGACTCTCATTTAAATTAACTCGCTTCTTGTTGCGGAAAGTAAGTAGCTCCTTTTTGAGAATTGCGTCAAGAATTTCTGGTGTTTCTTGACTTTCATCGTCACTTGTTGATTCGAGAATCATGGCAAGATCACAAATTAAACAGGACTGACGCCCTGTACCTGAAGTCCCTGTTCGTGCCGTATCTATTTCCATAGATTCTGTCATTCTCATTTTCTTCACCGTTTCGGTACTTGGAAAAGTTGGAGATATTGTTCGAGAAGCCAATTTGTCGGCCCATTCTCAAATATGTTTCATTACCTACTAGCTTCTGCCCGCGACTTCGTACGCAGTCCCGTTTTCTCCCATACCCGTAAGATTTTCAGGTTTTTCTCTGTCGTAAGAACCTTCGCCTGACAATAACAAACAACAGAAAAAAAAGATCAATTAAATCGGTCTAGCCGTTCTCAAGTTATGGCGTGACAACGGGAAACGGGTTTCAGTTTTATAATATATAGATTTTTCATTGCGATTTCTTCCGTTTGTTGTCCACTGGTTGAAATACGTCCAAATTTCACTATGCGTAGGTGGTGGCATAGTTCACTTATCCAAGTAGTAAATAACACTTTACTTAAGTACGTAATACGAATGTACGTACTACGTATTACGTAAACAATACAGTTAGCTCAGTTCTTAACAAAAACTAATAAAATCAAACGTGTGCTTCAGTTCTTATCACTTGTCACAACTACTCACTAGTAATTACAACAAAACAATAGCGAGACGGGTCACTGTCACTGATTCACCGAAGTCCAAAACAAAAATCATTGCTTTCCTGGTTGACACGTGCCTCTTGCCGGGACCACCCCTTTCTTGTTGCGACGTGCTACAAATCCGCATTCGCATCAGCTTTGCATCGATTTATGCGGATGCGGATGTCAAAATCAATGCGGATGAGGATGCGAATATTCGCAACATCCCTGATTCAGAGTACGAAATATAAAGCTAAACTCAATACCAATTAGTTCATTCGTTATCCACGCAATATGGATGCAATGGGCGCCAGTGTTGCAAGTCAAGAGTACGCATTTTCACAAAGTCAATGTCGATCGATCGGAATTGGATTGAAGAGTGAGCCCGGTGGTGTGTTGCAGGTGGGCGAGGTCAGACTGCGTTGTCTCCAAGCTCTGCAGCCTCTGTACGAGTGTGAGGAGTTGAAGGGCAAGTTGGAACTGTTCACATCCAAGTTCAAGGACCGCATCGTGTCCATGACGCTCGACAAGGAGACTGAGGTTGCAGTGCACGCTGTTAAGTTGGTTATTGCCATTCTAAAGTAAGTTATTCTTTACTATGGATACTATTTATTGTAGTCACTGTAGTTGACATGTTGAATTCCTCAAAAGCTGCGCCGAGTCTATGCATTTTGTTTACAATAGTACATACACGTATGTACTACTTGAATATGGCGCGCTGCTAGTCCGTGGCACTGAGTGGTGGGTCGCAGATGCCGCATGCACCCGGACGTGCTGACGGACAAGGACTGCGAGAACGTGTACGAGCTGGTGTACTCGTCGTGCCGCGGCGTGGCGGCGGCGGCGGGCGAGTTCCTCAACGTGCGCCTGTTCCGCGCCGAGGAGCCGGCGCCGCCCGCGCGCTCGCGCCGCGGCAAGCTGCGCCTGCCCAACACGCCGCTCATACGGGACCTCGTGCAGTTCTTCATCGAGTCGGAGGTACTCCACTTTATATTTGCAATTCTACCTGTCACTTTTATGGAAATCTAATAATACGAATCTACATCATTTTGTTGCTACGCTCAAATTTAACTGACGAAACTAGTATTATTGGTTTCCATTTCATTTCATAATAATATTGTAAAGGTTTGCTTACGGTTCTATGTATCATTGTGGTCTTCAATCTTAATGATGAGACATTTTGTGTAAAGTCACAAGCCAACCAATGAATTTTTAATTATTTCTTTCAATTCAATCTTTTAGTTCGATTTACTGGTAAAAGCAGATTAGTTGTGCTTTTCTTAAATAGATTTATAATAGATGAAGCTGAAATAATGAAGCCGGTTAATCAAAGCTTTCAAGATGGACAGTTTCCAGACTCTCTTAAAGTGGCTTTAGTAAAACCAGTACATAAAAAAGGTGATAAACATATTGCAAGCAACTATTAACCCATAGCACCGCTACCTGCTTGCTGTAGAAAATAAGTTGTTCAATACTTTTCGTATGAAATTACGGAAGTACCACTTTCGTAAGTTAGCTGCAGCGTAGTATATACCTATGAATTCTCATGTATGAAGATATAAAGTAACGAAAGTGCATGAATGTCTTCATAATCATATATTATATTACATTGTTGCGGAGAACCTAACGGGTAACCGGGGCTCCGGCTCGACGTGCAGGAGAAGGAACGGGGTGGTTTTTAGTCAGTAAGAGTCTGACACTCCCTTCTGCCTCACCCAGGCGGGAGCAGTCATTCGATGATTTACCCTCCTTAAAAAAAATCATATATTACATTGCAATATAAATCTGAGCTGTTAAGAAATATCACGGAAAAATGGCATTTACGAAATAAATCAAAGAATAATTAAAAATTAAGAAATATAAGAAAATAAAATCATGATACATGGAAACAGCAGTATTTTAAAATAACACGTACCGCGGTTTTACTACATCGGTCTCATAAAAAAGTTATCAATTTAATATTCCAAAACATTCACCTGCAAAATCAGCTTTCTATAATTTAGTTAGGAATTTTCTCCAAATTAGAAGAAGAAAAGAAGAACAAGAAAAAAAAAAATGAAAGTATATTAATTCTGGATGTACCTTATATGTTTTAGTTACACGAGCATGGTGCTTACCTGGTGGACTCTCTGATTGAGTCCAACCCAATGATGAAGGACTGGGAGTGCATGACCGACTTACTGCTGGAGGAGGCTGGCCCTAACGAGGAAGCTCTCGACAACCGACAGGTGAGTACTGCTCTGTGTGCGTGCAGTACGTGTGTGTGTGTATACAACACAGTGTCGTTGCAGGAGTCGTCCCTGATCGAGCTCATGGTGTGCTGCGTGCGCCAGGCCAGCACGGGCGAGCCGCCCGTGGGCCGCGGGCCCAGTCGGAAACATCACCACATGCTGTCCAAGGACCAGGCCAAGGTACCCGCTCGCACCATGCCATGTCGTGGGTAACAATTACTGCCTTTCAGTGCGACCAGTACACGTAACTGTGGACACAGGTGGTGAGCGACGACCGCGCGCGGATGACGGCGCACTTCATGGTGACGTTGCCGGCCCTGCTCGACAAGTTCGGCGCCGACCCCGAGAAGCTCGCCAACCTCGTCGCCATCCCGCAGTACTTCGACCTGGAGCTGTACACCACGCAGCGCCAGGAGGGCAACCTGGCGCTGCTGCTGGGCAAGCTGCGCGACGTGGTGCGCGTGCAGACGGAGGCCGAGGTGCTGGAGACGGCGGCGCGCACGCTGGAGCTGCTCTGTCGCGAGCACTGCGCCGTCTACTCGCGCTGCAACGTGGCGCGCGCCACCGTCACCGACATGTGCGTGGACCGCTACAAGGAGGCCATCGACGACTACCGCAGCCTCATCGAGGGCGGCGAGACGCCCGACGCCGACGAGCTCTTCAACGTCATCAACTCGCTGCGCAAGGTGTCCATCATGTACATGTGCCACAACCTCAACGACACCAACATCTGGGACTCTCTGTTCGAGGACCTGCCCAAGTGCGTCAAGGAGAACGAGTCGCAGATGCCACCGCAGGTAAGTGTCGACTATTGGTGCGAGCAGGGCGGTACTGACGCTGGGCGCGGGCGGGCGGTCATGACGCGGGGCGGTACTGACTCGGGAGGTACTGACTCGGGCGGTACTGACTCGGGCGGTACTGACGCGTAGCGGTACCGAGGTGGGTCGGTACTAACGCGGGGCGGTATTGACGCGTGGCGGTACCGACGCGGGGCGGTACTGAATCGGGCGGTACTGTACCGAGCGGTTCTGACGCGTGGCGGTACCGACACGGGGCGGTACTGACTCGGGCGGTACTGACGCGTGGCGGTACCGACGTGGGGCGGTACAGATGCGTGGCGATACTGACGCAGACGCTGGTGTACGTGGTGCGTGCGTGCTACTACTCGTTGCTGTGGGCACTGCACGGGGTGGGGGCACGGGTAGGGCGGTACCGTCGCGGGGCGGTACAGACGCGTGGCGGAACCGACGCGGGGCGGTACTGACTCGGGCGGTACTGACGCAGGCGCTGGTGTACGTGGTGCGTGCGTGCTACTACTCGTTGCTGTGGGCGCTGCACGGGGTGGGGGCGCGGGTAGGGCGGTACCGTCGCGGGGCGGTACAGACGCGTGGCGGAACCGACGCGGGGCGGTACTGACTCGGGCGGTACTGACGCAGGCGCTGGTGTACGTGGTGCGTGCGTGCTACTACTCGTTGCTGTGGGCGCTGCACGGGGTGGGGGCGCGGGTAGGGCGGTACCGTCGCGGGGCGGTACAGACGCGTGGCGGAACCGACGCGGGGCGGTACTGACTCGGGCGGTACTGACGCAGGCGCTGGTGTACGTGGTGCGTGCGTGCTACTACTCGTTGCTGTGGGCGCTGCACGGGGTGGGGGCGCGGGTAGGGCGGTACCGTCGCGGGGCGGTACAGACGCGTGGCGGAACCGACGCGGGGCGGTACTGACTCGGGCGGTACTGACGCAGGCGCTGGTGTACGTGGTGCGTGCGTGCTACTACTCGTTGCTGTGGGCGCTGCACGGGGTGGGGGCGCGGGTAGGGCGGTACCGTCGCGGGGCGGTACAGACGCGTGGCGGAACCGACGCGGGGCGGTACTGACTCGGGCGGTACTGACGCAGGCGCTGGTGTACGTGGTGCGTGCGTGCTACTACTCGTTGCTGTGGGCGCTGCACGGGGTGGAGGCGCGGCCGGAGGCGGGCGCGGCGGCGGCGCTGCGCGAGCGCCTGCAGGGCTACGCGGCGCACTGCAAGGACATCGTGGCGCGCGGCATCACGGCGGAGCTGAAGGAGGAGGCCTACACGAGCCTGTGCGACCTGCTCATCCTGTTCGCGGAGCACTTGGTGACGCTGCATCACCCGGGGGACCCGGACATGCGCCAGCTCGTGTTCGAGCCGGACACGGAGCTCTGCGACATGCTCAACGCCTTCATCCAAGAGTTTGTCTTCGTCCAGCACAACTACGGTAAGCTTTCCTAGTTTACGCAAGTTCTTTTTATTGTGACGATATCTGTTGCACCACTATTATTCAATAGTATTTCTCTACTTCCCGATACCACTTTGCGAATTGATTCATGCGTCGGTTCATTGCTTGTACTTTTTGGTAATGGTCCAATAAGGCTAAAAGCTCGAAAAATAATATTCACATTACTTCATTCGCAGGTTTATTCGGTTTATCTTCTTCATGACCTTTCAATACCATATACTCTGTCTGTACGAATAAATCGCATTAGTAAGGTATACCATTCTGTGACTTCATTCGAATACGTTGTCGTATGATTATAAGTGAGCAAGTTTAGATCATTTGGCGTCAGACGTTCATGGATAGATTCTGGTCAAAAATAACTATTTATTAACATATGCAATTTGTACTGGTGAAGAAACAGGGTTCGAAAATATCCGAAATTTGTAATGAATATCAAAATATCGGATATTTATGATATACAGGCTGTCCCTGAAGTCGGTTATCAAATGGCACCAGGTGATTGGCATGGTTCCAACAGTTATCAAAAATTGCAAAAAAATATTTCTATATTTTTTTGATAGGGTTTTAGGTGCGCTTTGGGTACACTGCAATAAATTCTAGTAAGTCCAAATAAATTGTTCAAAACGGAACTGAACGGCAAATTTTTTTGTGTGGAATTTTGAAATACTATAGGGAGTGGTATATCATTTCAGAATCCTTGTTAAATGAGCCAACTGGTGAAATTTGCCACTACTAGTATAGTACATTTTTTTTGCAGTACAGTCACTTAAAGTAAGTTGAAAAACTTATTGTGAAGACTTGGTTCGTCAAACAATAATATCAACAATGATATCGTATGCAAAAATACAGACGAAAAAATAAAGAACTAGCAGCATGAGTCAAAAGACTGGAACAGGGTGTACTTTTTCGTGGATACACATAATTCGTTGTATTTTAAAAACTATGTCTTTGGTTTTTTTTTTCTGATACCTGTTGCAACCTTGTCTATCATCTGGTACCTTTTGACCGTCTACTTCAGGGACACCTGTATATCAAGATATAGGTATATGCATTGAAAAACACCACGGCTCTTGTTGAAAAACTGTCCTATGATACAAACGGATAAGTAAAAATAGATCAGAATTTAGATACACATCGGCTGCGTGTCGTCGCAGGCATAGTTAGGTGGTATCATGTGTTATGTGACTGTTCACACAAGTGACAGAACAAACTGAGCGAACATCGTGTTGGCGAGAAAAAATATGCATTATGACCGCGAGGCCGGTAGTAGTCGCTGCCATAACGGGTTGTTGTGTTGCATGTGGCGGGCGGCGCCGCGCGACGTGGGTAAGCACTAGCTCCGCTCGTTCCGCACTAGATACACACCGACGGCGTATTTTACCTTAGTAATGCCCACGGCCGGGGCGGGCGGACCTCGCCGCCGCGCTACTATAATGCATATTTTTGTCTCGATGCGACGCCCGGAAGTCGTTCTCGTTTCGCGCAGTCTCGTTTGTGTATCACTTAACATTACTAAGGGAAAATTGTCGCGCCCGCTTCATACACGCAATCCGACACCGGTGGCGAATAAACCAATGCACTCCGCGGCGGGAGGACAGCGCGACCCTCGGCCTGATAACGGACAGTGGGGCCAGGGTACCGGGGACCCGATCATATTTTGGTGGCGTCGGTATTCGCTCCCGGTATCGAATTGCGTTACTATAGTATAACACATTTAACAAGTTTTTGGTTTGAGCATGCGTTGTGCAAGGTCTCTATTGCGATGACCGAATTATGTTTAACTAATTCATATGTAACAAATTATTTTATTTTGCGTTCATTTTTAATTTCGCCGAGTAATGCAATGACTGCATTGCCACGTGTTGCGACGCCTGGCAACCACCAAAGAGTCACTAGTTACAAGTATGCACGCGTGTGACGATGCTGTATTATTGTGGCTGTAGCTAATTAGTCCTCATTACCTACAACTACGACCCGGCTGACTGCTTCACTTCGTGTCGTGTCAGTCTGCCAGACTGTAGTTACTCCAGGCTTGTGTACACAGGGGTTGCGGGCGTGTACTGGCGCTTGTTGTCTATGCGTAGTGACTAGAGTGACTAGAGTGACTAGCGAGTCACTCCCCGTAGCGTAGTGTCTGCATGCCGCTGTAGTGGACTCACGCCGCTCTAACTCTGCATAGTGCCCAGTAGACATCACCTGTCGGTGTCCGCTCCGTCTCACCGTACTGATGATTTAGTGTCTTTGTTATAATGTGGTTCAGTGTCACTCGATATGGCAGTATGTTCTATACCGTGTTACATTGGCCGCTCTCGCAAGTTGTATATGAAGCAAGCCTAATTAGTGTTAACAATGGTAAAAATAAAATATAGAAAAGAAAAGACACTAAACCGTTACGTGTGGATAGTATGGTGGTTGTCGCGTGAGTGATGTATACAGCCGAGTGCGTGTTGCAGACGGTCAAGACGAGAGACGTATCGAGGAACTCCACAAGCGACGCAACTTCCTGGCCGCCTACTGCAAGCTCATCGTCTACAACGTCGCGCCCATCCGACGCGCTGCAGACGTCTTCAAGCACTACATCAAGGTCAGCTTATGATCAAATTGCTAGGACTTCATTTACCTATGTTTGTATGTAGTATGTAGACGATAGTATGTTGAAAAAAATATTTATTTATTTACAGTGCTACAATGATTATGGCGATATAATCAAGGCGACACTGAGCAAGGCCCGCGAGATTAACAAATTAAATTGTGCGCTGACTATGGAGTTGGCCATGCAGGCGCTGTTCAACGACATGTTACAGAAACACGCCGGCACCACGCCGCATCGACAGATGCCCGAGATGTTGGAGCTCAAGGTGAGATCCAGAGATACAGAGAAGTATAAATGTATAAGATCGCGCGGCGCGGGTCGCCTACAACGCAGCGTGTTACAGGAGCTGGCCAAGCGGTTCTCCGTGATGTTCGGGCTGGACGCCGTGAAGAACCGCGAGGCGCTGACGGCGCTGCACCGCGCCGGCATCGCCTTCGCGGCGCTGGAGCAAGGCAGCGCCAGCGGGCCGCCGCCGCGCCTGCTGTTCCTGGAGGCGCTGGCCGAGTTCTCGGGCAAGTTGCTGCGCCAGGACAAGCGCCACGTGCTGCGCTGCCTGGACGCGCGGCTGGGCGGCGCGCTGCCGGGCGCGGGCCGCGCCGACGACTGGGCGGCGCTGCTGGCCTACCGCGGCTCGCTGCTCACGGACGCGCCCGACGAGCGCCCGCCGCCCGCGCGCCGCCACTACGCGCGCCGCCCCAGTGCGTACTCCACCACCTGCGTAGCGTCGCCGACTATATACCTTTCTTAAACAACCTATCTTTGTTCGGTTGCAGGAGGGCAGAACGAGGACGAAGAGGCAGACGACAACGTGGAGTCTGACCAGGACCAGCCCGGGTGACAGGGACGGGGGACGCCCACTGTCCAAGTAGGGTAGTCTAGTTAGTGGGACACAGTCATTGTGGGACAGGGACCACTTTATTGACTCATTCCCTGAACACCGTGTTTTGTTAATTTATGTATTTTTAAGGAAAAGGGCATTGACACAGCTTCACCACTAATAAAAAAAAATTATAAACACTAAACAATTCCTTATATTTTTATAAATAGAATAGACTCTGAAAATATTTGTGTTGTTAATTAACATGATTATTATAGGGTGCAGCAAGTAACTGTTCGGTAGCAACTTAATGACGTTACATTAAATATTAACGCAATTTTGGTCAAATTGGAATAAATGATTTTGACTTTCACTTTGATAAAATTATAAAGAAATATAAAATATGAATAAAATAAAACATACTATATTAATAATACCAAAGCCGACGACTGGCATGAGCATTACGTTTATAATATAATGTAACGTTTAAGGCGAACGTGTTATCCTCTTGTCTGTTGAAAGTTGCGGCCAATATGTGCTTTATACCGGGAGCCGGTGTTTCAACAGATAAAAAGAAATGTAACGTTATATCAAATAATATTCGTTCTTATATCGAATTATTGTTACGACGAAATGTTTCAAATTAGTCGTCGCCTTTATAAATGTAACTAAAGTGGTGGAATCCTGTCAAAGTTCTTTTCCCCATATAAACTTGTCATAAATCCAATTGATTTATAAAAACTACACGTTGAAATTTACAATTTGTTTTTAGTTGGTACAGGAAATGTAATGTTGGCTTATATCGAATTGTTCCAGTTGCATAATTATAATATATTGTATTTTTATAATAAATTCCATTTGTAATATCTAATTGTTTTATTGCATTCACACTTGATTCTAATTGACACGAAAACTGTGCTCATCGCCACAGTGTAGATAGTGTAACGTACATACATCTGTAGTAGTATGTGGTACGCTATATTGTACAAAACTGAATAAAATTAGGGCTACGATTTTTTAAATGTAAAGCGATAAATATGTCTCATTGAACCGGTTCATAATGGGTTGCAGTAATTAGAGGATATTAAGGAAGAATAGATATAAGTATCATGCATAAAGTATGCCGTCTGTTCCTTGTTTCGAATACGAAGATTCATTGCGATATTGCGAACACAAATTGTCGAGTTCAATTACTTACGTCACACAAATTTCATGATTTTTTGCTCCTCCCTCCGTCCTCGTCGCGTCACAATTGTGAGATCCCACCTCCCTAGTGTGACGTCACATTTTACATACAAGACAGTGGTTCCAAAATAATTATTTAATAATATTAGCATCAGATGTGTACCCAGGTATGTTTGAGGTTTTTGTAAATTAATAGTTGAAAATTCATGTTAACAGATTATAATAGTTTTTGAAATATGAAGTCACGAAGTTTAGGTTCCTCCCTAAACCTTTTCACACAATGCCACACTAATTCATGGACGGGTCCCTCCTCTTTAACGTAATTTATTGATGGAAGTTATGAAAATTAAAAGATACAAAAAAGCAAATTTGGCTACTTGACGCTAGATGGCGCAACCTTATAATTTGATAAATACTATCCAGAATTAAATTATAACTATGGTGAATCACAATACTTATTAATTTAGAATTTGATCGCAGAAAATAATTCATAACTTCCACACTTGTAAATTTGGATTCGAATTTAGGAACATGAGAATGGCAAAATATCGACGTCCATCTACTAGTTATGTATTTTAATTTTTGAACAGTTCAATAGAAATCACGTTGGTTTCTTTAGGAAACAACATCAAATACTAACGTTTCTTTTTAAAAATATACCTATTGCTAAAAAAATGTTCCTATATAATGCCTACACTACACCCGGGCATGGGTTACAGGGAAGTGCATCTATCTATATAGTATAGATAGACAATAATATGCTCGTCGGCAGCTGGATTATAATTTTTAAGAGTCTTTTTTCTTCCTTTAGGTCTTTACTAATTTCGCTTTCTTCGGGTTTGATATATTCGTTCTGTGAGGACCACTTATTATATCATCTTGATTCTAGGTTTGTCAGTAGATGGCGCCATCTAAGTACAACTTTGTATTCTCAAATGATTGACACGCCTAATGTAAAAGTGTAACTTTGTAACCCATATTTAGCAGAATTAAATATTGAAATAAAATGAAATATCTAAATTTTCTTTTCTTTTCGCTCCGATGACGTTGTTTACCATTTACCATTCAGTGTTCGTAAAGTGTCCAAACACATTCAACAAGTATAGGTAGGTACTCACAGGGTGCAGAACTATTCACAACTATTCTCCGAGTAAGTCAAGTCTGCGAGTAATGTGTTTTCCAATTGTACGGCCTTTAATCGAACTCGCGATCATGGGCTCGGCTGGGCAAAAAAATAAGATTCCTTTCGCCGGTTTATGCTTCTGTACCGCACCACCACGCCTTTATATCTAAGTTTAGCGCCACCTATCGGAAGCTTATGGTTGACCCAATTACCTAGGTAAGTAGGTATTCATAACATGCACGGTAAAATGAAATAAAATAAACAACTTGGCCGAATGGTCGCAAGTGGCACTGCCGAGCAAGGGGTCTCGGGTTTGATTATCGAGTCGGGTAAAGTACTACTTACTGGGTTTTTTTAAAAAAAATATAAATCTCAGTAGAAGAGTATAGTATCTAGTCATCAGGTTTGATGTTCGTGGGTATAATATATGTTACATGGGGTTTCTAGAAGTGTATCAACCCATGGTATGTATACGTGGAACATAGATCTACGCGAGACACAATGCGTGTGCTAATGTGTCTCATATAGGTAAGTACTTACCTACCGACATTCATGCGGCGTAGGGCCGATATTTACAACGCCAGATACATTTAACTGACGAATAACTTTGAACATTTGACAATTCTTCCACACCCGTCAAATGTCAATTTTATTCTTCAGTTCAAAATTAACTGGCTAAGAATCGGCTCTTAACTGTAGTGTAGGTAATAATAACGAGTTGATTGTGTGAATAACTTTGTGAGGTGTTTGGGGTAGATTTGGTGGACATGACATTAGGTATGTTCATCCAAAACCTAATTGCAAGCACAATAAAATGCCTATAATATTATGATGAGAATTAAATACTTAGACCAATAGTCAACGGGATGCCAGCAGGTGTACGAGCGCGTTTGGTTTATTATGCTCGTTGCTTGCGGGCTATCCTCTACCGTCTGCTGCCTGAAGCACCAAGTAACACTAGTCCTGTATATGTTTACAAAGGTGCTAGGTGGCGCTGTAACGTCGGCGTGTGTACTTGTGTAGTGGGTAAGTTAGGGGCGGGAGGCGGTCGAGGCGGCGCGCGCGCAGGCCCCGCCTGGCCTCGGCCGCGCCCCGGGCCCCGGGCCCCGCGCCCCGCGCTCCCTCTTACTAACGTTGCATGTAAGCAATAAGTTAATTTGTTTGTTGCTGAATCGACATAGCTACAGCCCACTAGTATCATCGTATTATTACATTTTTGTATTAGATAGATATCGGCATACCTAAGCAAGAGGTAGATAGATACGTTTTGAATCATTATTTTTATTTTTTCCATTATGATGTAGTAGTTAAGTAACTATTTTGTACCCAATTTTTGACGAAGGGCTCATTGTTTGGATAGCAACTATGTAACTGTGTGTGTGTGTGTGTGCGCGTGTGTGAGCACGAATGTCGCGGTCATTACCCTATTATTACTTATACTTAATTACTTATCAGGTGTATACCTATTAGGTACCTACGTCAACGTGTTGTTACGCCTTACTTTCATAAGGTTTCATGAAAACAATTAATGGAAACAGAACATCTTATTTTTTGCATTATTTATTAACATAACAGTATCACGTAGGTAGGTACTTATTGCACCTCATACTAACCACAGCTATAACACATCAATAACAAAATTAATAAATTAATAAACTTTGTACACTTCTATGAAAATAATAGAATAAAAAATATAAATTACAATCTTTTCTATTTAGTATCACACGCGCATGCGCGTTTACACCCCTAGGAACCCAAGCAGGCTATATTTACATCTGCTTTAAATTTTGCCACTTTATGAATTAGTTAACATAAATATTAGGTACTACAGAATAACAACGATGACGTAATAACGCAACACTACCCTGTGCGGTGAGATCTGTCGTCGTGATGCACAACAAACACTCGGCGATTACAATACTTGGAGTAATAAAGTAACAAGAGTCACTGTGACTCGGCGGCGGTGCTGACGCTGTGCCTGATGCAGGAGCAGCCGACGGACACGTTGATGACGTAAGGGCGGAACGATTTGGCTTTCATCACTAGCACGGAGTCCTGAACTTCGGTGCATGAGAACTGCGCGCCGCTGGCCAGTGGGAATGCGCCGCAGCAGCGCATGCGCAAGCCTTTAGCGGCCGGACACATCTCGTACGGGTCCGCGGCGCACTTGATGACTTTAATCGTTTTTGGGATTCTGTCCAGGTCCTCGTCAATTTCCACCACTGTCCTGCAAACGGCTTTGTTAATTGCTATAGGAAGCGTCATGCTGTTAGGCTTGGCAGACACGAAGGTAGCGGCTAGCGGTAGCGCCAGCGCCACTATGATGATACAATTCCGGTACGACATGTTCATTGAGGAAAATGCGTCGGGCTCGTGCTCGTCCGTTGAGATAACTCGTGAAATGTTGCGGTGAGCCGCTCGTGCGCTGTTATATAGGTATCCGCCGGCCGACGCACACAGCTGTGTCATCACTACTACCTCTTCCTTACATACCTACATTTCAAACATCAGAAATTCCAAGTTGCGTATGTGTAACATTTTACGGAAAAGTAGGTAAGAACCGAGGTATATCATCTTTCCGTATATAAAAATTATTATTGACCGAATGAGATTATCTACAAATAATTAACAGATGCAGGTACAATAGGCAGCCGTAAGTAGGCCCTTAACGCATTGGGTAATTCACAACAGGGTGTGTAATTGTGTATCATTTGTTTTATGTAGATACTTAGTTCACAGGCACCGTGAACATCGCGTAGCCACAGACGTCGTACATCGAGTATGAATATAAGCCCCTAGCACGGCTTGAGACCAGTAGAGTTACTTCGTTCAATAGTTAGGTACGCGAGTAAACCGATAAAACAACAGATTAACTAGCTCCCTTGCAGCGACTGACATCTGTCACCAATAATAGTGGCAAGCAGACAGCGACATCAGGGTGCATGCCGAACCCGAAGTCTGGCATGCACCACTACTCATAGTGGGAGCCTACGAGGAGAGCAATACATGTGGAGCGGTAATCATTGGCATTCCTTTTACTATATAGATACAAATTGATTATTATTGTCCAGTTAGTAGGCACGATGAAATAATAAATATTTCATTCATCTCACTATAATAGGCCATGCGTTCATGTGTCAGGAAATAAGTACACGTATTTATTAAAATTCATTTAATCATTTGCAAACATGGATCCATAATATAGGTGTTAACAAAGTTTACACATTTCGCCTTTTAATTATTAGATACTGTTATTTTAAATTAGTGATAGTTAACCTAGAAGTTTTAACTTTAACTTAGCTGTTGTGTTTGATTATAAGTGAGGCAACTGATGTTTTTACATTAGTACGAACTACGAGTTGACGTAGTGTCTACTGATTCAACTTGGATTACTGTAAAATGAATAACGATGTAGTATGTAGTAGGTACTGCGACGTCCGCCCCGTCGGCGACCGGGGGCGCCTAGCAACGCCACTAATTGGGAAATCTTGAAAAATATCAGTAAATCATTGTAGAGGTTACTCCGCCAGACTGTTTGTATACACGAGATAATGGAAC